TGACTGCAGTTCGTCGTCGTAACCGACTTGAGTGGGCAAATGCTCACATTCGATGGCATCTGGCACTTTGGAGAGGTGTTCTCTTCACGGATGAATCCCGGTTTTCACTGTACAGGGCAGATGACAGACAGCGTATATGGCGTCGTGTGGGTGAGCGGTTTGCTGATGTCAACATTGTGGATTTCGGACCCCCCCCCGGACCCCGCAATACAGTAAAACTGCACATTTTAGAGTGGCCTTTTATTGTGGCCAGCCTAAGGCACACCTGTGCAATAATCATGCTGTCTAATCAGCATCTTGATATGCCACACCTGTGAGGTGGATGGATTATCTCGGCAAAGGAGAAGTGCTCACTAACACAGATTTAGACAGATTTGTGAACAAAATTTGAGAGAAATAGGCCTTTTGTGTACATAGAAAAAGTCTTAGATCTTTGAGTTCAGCTCATGAAAAATGGGGGCAAAAACAAAAGTGTTGCGTTTATAATTTTGTTCAGTATAGATTATATTACATTTTAAAATGCTCATAATCAGATTACAGTTACTTTTTATGGATTACGATTACATGATTGCAAATTTGATTCTCCTTTTTCCTCTATTAAGTTTTACGTTCTAAAAATCCTTCTGTGTGTCATTTTGAATACAGTGAGTATTCACAAAGTATAATGGCCATGTAAATGTCATGAAAATTAATATGCAACACATGTCTCTGAATTTGTGGACAAAAGCACCTCTGTCAATTACACCACATATCAGACGAATAATTACACAAGTTACTAAACACTGCCGATGTACAAACTGACAAAAATATTTACAAACCTAGAAGACTTTGACCATGTCATTGCTGTTTGATGTTTGTCTTTAACCTAAAATATTTACTTGAATCCAGATAAGATTTAAAGCTATTATTTCAGTAATTTAACAACAAATTTGTGTTTTCTGGTGTCTTATATTTTATTTCTCTTTGTTTTTTTTTGTGTTTTTTTTTAATAAAAATTAATTAATTAATTATGTAGTTATTTATTTAATTAATGTAGTAAACATCACTTAGAACAGCCCAGCAACCGCATAGCAATGCCATAGCAACCACCTAGCAACTTCAGTGCAATAAACACCATACATGCTCCAACACATACAATATTAAATCAATCATATTAGGTCCAATAATACATTCTTTTAATTATTAATAATGCCTTTATAATGTCTTAATATTTATGAAAGTGTATTTGTAAATATGAATTTTAAAGTAAGATGATGCAGTATAGCTGACTAACTGGATGACCCTCATCAGGCTCGGGTTGCTCAGTGAAGAGCCGGTTCCTCACGCCGAAACCATCTTAGCAGCAGTTGCTAAGCATCTGGAGGCTAAACTGTCTTTCGGTAAGGAGTCAGTTCCTCTTTCTTTCTTATGCCATTCTGTCTTACGTCATGAGGTTCAGAGAGCTTTGAAGATTCAGCATGTGTTCCTGAAGGTCATCCATCAGGCATCACAGACGTATTGAGCTTTTAAGTGTCTTAAACTAAACCTGAAGTCCAGCTGCACATAAATTAATGTTGTTTTTGGATCGTTCTGTCTGGTGCAGCTAAAGGCGAGCGCGATATGGTCGTCATGAGGAACGACATCGGAATCAGACACCCAACGGGCGAGCTGGAGACCAAACACATCAGCCTGGTGGTTTACGGGGATCCCAATGGATACTCAGCCATGGCTAAAACCGTGGGCTACCCAGCAGCCATTGCAGTCCGTATGGTGCTCAACGGTCAGTGCTACTCGACTTGAATATGCACATTTCATTGCAAATGTTACAAAAATGTATTTTATTTAGATATGCACCAATATATAAAACTGGGCCAATACAGACTATTTATATTTTGAATTTAAGAAGTGATATTTTGCCCAATATTACAAAAAAAAAAAAAGTCAAGATCTCTTTTTCTTTTGAATTTTTGTTTTATTTTATTTTGTTTTATTTTTTTACCTTTTTTTTTCTCTCTTCCAGCTGCAACTGCAGAAAATCTTTTTCCCTCACAAACATTTAACAAACATAAGCCTGCTATTAACCAGTCAATGTCCAAATTTCATTTCTAATCTTTCTTTTTATTCTAAAGGTTAAATGGAAAATCTACATTTTACAAATATAACATTTTATTTTATTTGTATTTAATAACAGGTAGACCAGCTTGCAATAATGTGAGGTCCCATGATCATTTGGCTATAATTTATTGGCTTAAATATATATTTTACTTATTGTACTAAAACCAATAACATTATGAAGTCACAGTTATTCGCTGATACTGATATATCAGTGATATTTCATGAATCCCTCGTTTCATGCCACTGTAATTACATCAGTAGTTCGTATTCTGTTCTTAATTATTAAAATATAACATTTTAAAATATATTTCCAGGATGTAATTTCCAGTAATTCCACACAATGCCCAGACGCTGCTCTTATAAAGTCACTTTGACTTAATGTGAATGTGTGACGTCCCACCGCAGGTGAACTGACCACTAAAGGACTCGTGGTGCCGATGACGAAGAACATCTACAGTCCGGTGCTGAAGAGACTGCAGGAGGAGGGTCTCCAGTGCATCACCAAGAGCACCATATCAGAGTAACCACACACCTTAAGATCTCAAAACTCATTTCTGTGCCACATGTGTGTAATGAAACCCAAACATCCATTACCGCACATATTCCACAATGAACGGTTGCAGATCTTCAGAGTGATCCAACGGTTAGTACTTGTTTCCAAACTTGAATCTAAAAGTAGATTTACACAGTCTGTAGATGTTTGTATTAGTTGACAATGAGTGTTCATTTTTATCAGTGTCGTCATAAATTGGGAGTGTAAATAAACTCCCACAAAGCACTTTGACACAGAACCGTCCCATTTCCACTTCCTGGCATTGAAAATGAACTTTATACACCATCAGTATTTTCTTACCCTTGTAAGAAAACATGAACTTCTATCTCAGTTGAGTTCTAAACAAGCAGTAGCATCATATTAATGCAAAACATTGTCATGTTGAGTACTACTGATAAAATGATCCATTTTCTGTAAGACTTTAACATCGTCAACTGAATAATTCTTAAATGTGAAACTTGGCACTGTAGTGAATTGTTTCAATTTTTTTTTTTCACATTATAAATGTGAATTAGCATAAAAATAATTTCTAAACCATTTTAAGCATAGCATGTCCAAAGAGTTGTTTTAAAACTAGGTTTTGTCCAATAAAACATTTGCATTTTCTTTCATTGTTTTATATTTCTTGTTTGTTTTTTCAAATAAATGTCTAAAATATTGTTTGTCATCTTCAGTAGACAGAAATGAGAGGAAATTACCCTTTACCCCCCTCTTTTATTACATAATGTATATATATATATATAATGTATGTATGTACACCCAACTTCCGATTAATATATATATATATACAGTGGGTACGGAAAGTATTCAGACCCCCTTCAATTTTTCTATATTAGAAATTAATACTTTTTATTTACCAAGGATCCATTAAATCGATAAAAATTGACAGAAAGACATCTAACTATTTCCATTTCAAATTAATACTGTTGTTAATACAGTTTTTTTTTTTTTTACTTTTTCATCAAAGAGCATCTGGAGAAAGAGTAGTTTTAAAACTAGCTTTTATCCAAACTTTTGTGTTTTCTTTCATTGTTTTATATTCCTCGTTTTTCTTCAAATAAGCATCTAAAATATAATTTCTAAAAATATAAATGTCATCTTTAGACACAAATTTGAGAAAATTACCTTTCACCCCCCTTTGGCCCTTGTTGACTGCCCTGTGGCAGTCATAAAAACAGTCTGCATTGTTGGTGGTGTGGGGCCATCAGTGCGGCCACTATAAAGTAGGCCACCAAGCGCAGGATAATTGGGGCTGTACTTATTAGAAGTTAAAAATGCAAATGAAGCTACCAGTAGCCCCTCAAGACCATGTCTGGCCATTTGACCCATATTTTTGTGTAAATGACCTTTTGCTCTTAAGACTGGATTAGAATTGAGGAATAATTACAAGCGATTCTTCAAAGGGATTATTCCATAACTCATGTAGCTGTCATCTTCGTCACCAAACCCTTAAGCCGTGGACTTATAATAATCGGTTCCTGAAGATGCAGTGGCTTAAGGAGTGAGCTGATCGTTGCCAGAAGCACCGTCTCGATGGCTTAAGCCAAGATGAATTTGAGGAGGGCTGAAGCTGAAGTTAACTGAAAAACAACCCTATTTGGTGAACGTCCTTAAGGAAACCTGTCTTCGTTCTCTTTTACTGACCTCCTGGGCCACATGGAGAACTGAAGGACTGTTGGTTGGTCTTGGTTTTGGTGGTTTGGCAATCAGGATGCCGAGGTAACAGAATTACCTTAAAATTAGAATTAACTTGAAAGCAAGTTCAGAATTAACAGCTGACACGAGCCAAGCGGCTGCTGTCTGGAGACTGTAATCAACACAAGTCTGTCCTGAGGGCAGATGAAAACCAGAGTTCAATATCACATTTTGACTCATCCCTTGTTTTTAAAAATACAGTGAGGAACCTAAAATGAAAGTTTAAATGCAGAAATTCGTAGCTTATATTTGTTTTTATTTATTTTATAATGCCCTTACATTAATTTTTAATTTACATAAGTAATCTTTTTTGTATCAAAATCATTTTTTATTTTATATTATGCACATTGTATATAATAATATATAATATTTTTATTATTTAATGTACATAATAAAAATTATATAATGTAATCTTGCTCTCTATAGAGGGTGTCAGATTTTTAAAAATCTATAATTAAATATATATATAATCTTATATTTAAATAAATATATTAGTTGAGGGTTAAGGGTCAGAATTTTAAAGAAATTAATACTTTTATTCAGCATGAATGCATTAAATTGATCAAAAATGACAGTAAAGACATTTCAATTTCAAATAAATGCTGTTCTTTTGAACTTTTTATTCATGAAAGGATCCTGAAAAACAAAAGATCAGTTTTTACAAAAATATTAAATACACAGAGAAGGTCAGTGAGTGATTTTAACATGAAGCATGTTAGTATGCATATTGTTTGTTTTGTGTCTACATTATTGAAACGGTGACAATTTTAACGTTTGCAAATTGACCTCATTCATTTTTTTTTTGTTATTGTAAGTGCCTTGCTGATTTATTTTTTTCCTTTTAAAGAAGGGATTAGGGTTAATGTGGAAAATATTTTTGTGGTATATTAACATTATTAAACAAACTATTCCTTTTAAATATATTGTCAAAAAACAAGAATTATAAAGTCTAAGCACATGAAATATCCCAGCATAAACAGACCAGTCTCCTTGTGTGCTTTCTTGTTTGGTTTAATTCTACGAACAGACAAAAACATCTTGTACAGCTAAACAGTGTCAGTATGTAATGCATCATCTTACATCAATAACAAAACAGAGGCATCAGAAATATTAAAACATCATTTCAAATGTGACTAAATTATTCAAACGCAGCCATGTCTTGTAAAGCACTACTGCCTCAAATATAAAATTCTAGACATAAATAGAAATTTGGTCCATCGACGTGGTTGCTGTAATATTATTTACACATTAGAATATTATTTCCTGCCCTTTATCCATGACTGATTTTGCCACTTTCTTTGTATATTTGAATGAAAAAACTGGCTGAAATTCTACTTCAAAAAATAGACTAATAAAAAACAATCTTATTAAAATAAAAATGGAGTTTTCCCTTTTAAACAAGCTTTTAAGCAAATAAATATGACTCTATGAGAAGACATTAGTACGTAAGACATTAGCACAAGGTGGCGATTTAAGAGAGAAACCATGAATAAAAACGTGGAGTGTACAAAGGCACACATTTAATGACAGCGCTGCATCCAGCAGAGCGCTATCAGTCCAGAGATGGACTGGGGGAAAACAAGAGCATTCTTTGATAGAAAAACAAGTCTTTTTCCTGTGCCGGCTCGTCACTATGGTTACACCAAAGATTCCAGACTCTCGGCCGCACTCGAGACGCCTCCTGGGACCGTGCCGTTGTTGTCTGAAGACTGAAACGCTCGCTCGTCTTCTTGGGTGCTGACCAAACTCAGGATGGCTTTGTAGAGGAACTGATACTGATCCTATCCGACCAAAAAAAATGTCAAAATTAAAAAACCAAGAACATGTTGGTAGTTTGACCACAACATACCACTCAAAATATTACATTTCCCTTGTGGATTTGAGTTAATTCCACCTCGGGGCAGAATTATTAATGACTGACTTTTCCTCATCAGAACGGCTGCCAACTCCAGATAGACGGAAAAACCACTTCATTTCTTTTAAAATGTCTACATGCCAATAGTTTACAGACACATGGAAAACCCTGAAGTTACAAAAATAAATATCATAAAATATAAAAGAGCACATACATACTATTAATACTTAAAAGTAAAAAAAAAAAATTTTAATCGCCTACATAATTTTTAACATAAAATATAAGTTAAAATGTATAGACCCAATAAGATAAATATTTATATTTAATACATTATATATCTTTTTTTAAATATTGCATTTTATATATAATTATATCAAAATACATATATGTAAAGAGGGGAAAATTATTATATATATATATATATATATATATCTTTAAA